CTAATTTCGAAATATCAGTAAACTTATACTGATGTTCCGATACTTTTGAATACTTTTTTGTTAACAAATTCAAACTCTTCAATTTAAATAAACTTAGATACATAAAATGACTTAATACATAAATAATACTATGCATTATTTGTGCCCTATTGTTGTTTAAAGGTATGATTTTCGATTTCAAAGCCAAAAAGATACTTCCCTTTTTTGTATAACTTTTAAATTACAATAGAGAAAAATATTCAGAATCAAAATTCAATAGTAAATTATCGAGTACAATGTAACATAAATAATAATTTTAAAGCTCCTGAGTACTCAGCTAAGAACTCCGCGTTGACGGTAGCAACGTATCGTCGCGATGAAAAATAGAAGCTCATTCATTCTTGTTCATCTTTATATAAGTGATTTGAAGACAACGAAATTTTTTGTTACAGCTGTTTCCGTTATTATCGTCTTAATCGTGCAGATGTGACTTGTTCCGTACTTACCAGATTCGTAAAAATGAATAGCAGATAAAATTATCTTTGGATATTACATGTAAAAGCATTTTTTTCCACTTCTTTCAAGTTGTCAAATCGCGTTTTCTGCTTGAACAGGCTTCATTTCACGTGCCTATTACAGCTATTTATTAACTATCAGGAAGAGAAAGCATAGCAGCCGCCCATTTTCACAAATGTCTTAAAACCAATGTTATTTTAGTCCAATATTTCTTTATTAGCAAAATTATCGTAATAAACTTTATTGTGTCATTTCTTGTCTCTGACGTCACGATATAGTCGTGGTGACTACTCAGAAGCCTTAAAAAAATTTTTTATTTCTATTTATAGATGATGTTATGGACAATATTATAGTTTTATTATAGATAATCTTGTAGACAATAATTTATTATTATTAATTTCAATTTTAAATATCTTTTTCTGTCATTTAAGAGCTATATATGAAAAAGTGGAAGTGCTTTAAAGTCTTTCAGCTTTAAAGTTGAAAATTTACCTTTAAAAGATGATAATACGCACTAACATATATCATTACTCATGTATTGAATTCTACATATTCATTTAAAAATTTATTGAAATTGAAAAGTTTGAAGTCGCGATTTTTCTTGTTAGTTTAATATCATTCCAGATATGTACAAAACAAGAAAAATCTTGAATTTAATTAATTCTAATGCTTTCCTATTATCTATATTATATTAATATGACCGAAATACTTATATATAACATTTGTAGAAATAATTAATTTTCTGCGCAAACTTACTGATTTATTGTAAATATATGCGGATTTGAAAAGAGCAAGTTATACCCAGTCATTTAGTGGATTTATATGTATAACAACTCACTTGGACTTGGGCTGCATTTCTCCTGTAGAGGCTAGTAATGCATCCCTGCGATGTAACCGCATACTGACTCGTCGTTCTTGCCCAGCTGCACCCGATGCTGAAAGAGAGCATTAGAAAAAACATAATGCATAAAAATGCAAGAAAAATTTAGCCAATATTCCTACGTGTATTTATGTCATCAATTCGCTGCTACACTGCCACCGTTTCGTAAAACTCGCTTTTATAATCTCCCGCGGGCATGCATGTGTGTGAGATGTGTACATATAAGTGTATATTTACTTAATATACAAAATATTCAATTTTATTTTATATACAAAATATCCAATCATCTGGAATAATTTGTAAATTATGCACTGTATAAAAATTATTAAATACAAAAATTGTATGATCGATGAAAGGGTTAGTATTACATATCATACAAGGATATCATATACGTACATTTTTTATAAACAAAGTTTCATATTTTTGAATACATTAATCAACGCAGTTTCGAATCTTCTTTAGAAATCTATAAAGTTATGCTAAAAAATTAAGTTAGTTAAAGAGTTATTTTATGTTTTATTTTAATATATTTTTGACATAAAACGAAAAATATTTTATAAGGTATTCATCTTTCGCAAGATACTTTAATACATTTATAGAAATAATAATGAGATAAATTTATCGGTGTAGAAAAAATACATAGTTGCTTAAAAAAATATGCATGTAATATAAAATTGTAATATAAAATTATATTCATTTTTACATTCATCTTTTTCGTAAAAGATTAAAAATTATATCGATTAAAATATCCACAAGTATGAATTTTATTTTAAAAAATGAAGTTGATGTTAAAACACTTTTATCTATCTAAAAAGTATGCATATATTACACACTAATTCTTTCAAAATCATGCAACTTCTATGTATAACAATATTTTATATAATGCATAATTTACAAATTATTCAACATCAGGCGTGTACCTTTCGTATGTGTGAATATGCATATAAATACCCCCTCCCCCCCCCACTACACACACACACACACACACAACTTTCTACCATCTTTCGACATACAACAAGATTTTTACAAAGGTTTATTAAAATTCAAAAGCAATCATAAAAAAATTACAATATTCATTCAAAATATCTTTAAAATGTCTTTAAAATTCAAAAATTCAATTCTCTTACAACACGCCGGTAATATTTTAGTCAGTACATTCAATCGTGCAGTAACTGCTCGCCAAAGAGAGAAATGAGATGTAGAAAGAAAAGCAATCGTAAACAGAGAAGAACACTCGTTACATTGCAAAGCACACTTTTTTCACAATATATATCGTATGTTGTACCCACCATATGTCAACCTGTAATCTAAGACTAATTATGAAAGCTAATGTAATACATCCAATTTATTATAATTATTGTATACAAAAATTGTAACAACTTAAGTATGTATTTTCGCACAAAATATTATATTACAAAATTGCAGTTGCTTGGCTAGAATCTACTTTCATTATTAATTTAAATTTAAGATATTTTTCTTTGCATTTAGACATACAGAATTTTGTATTCCTTTATAATAATGACAAGATAAACAAATTCAAACATTTGAAAAATGAAAATATTCTATATCATTCACACAAATTAAGTTATAATCCAAAATATTTATAATAATATATACTTTTAGGTGACTTTTGACTGCACGCACGCACGCACATGCTGCTAACATTTGAACGATATATTTGATTTCGTAGTTATAGTCGCATAAGGTAATGATTCTTCTATTTTTTTCTTTTTAAAAATGTTATCGTGTTATTCTATTTCTTCTTCTATTTCTATTTTTAATAATACATCTACGGATGTATTATTTTAAATTTGATTAAATCTCATCATCATTTTTTGGCTACTGCAATCTTCCAAAATAATAATAGTAATAAAAAGTAATTTCAAGAAATCTTGTTTGTAATTATATGTAGGATTTATATGCTAGGTTGATGCATCAGATTTATTCACATTCATTTTTCAAGAATGTCATACAATTAAAAATGATTCGACATCAACCAGACAACGCGGGAAACAATGGATAGTTTTTCACTCTTGGCAATTGAAATGGAAAAATTAATCATTAAAATGAAAACAAGCAAGTGGATTAAAATAAAAAAATTTAAAAAAAGAAAAACAGAGAAAAAAACTCGAAATAAGGATAAAACACCTTTTCGTGAAGATAAATGATGCGACAAAATTCAAATGTTAGTCGAGAAGTAAATTCTCTCCTCTTTCTCTTTCACCAATATACTTTGAGAATCGTCGAAATTTTCAAATTTATTTTGGGTTTTTCCATTCAAGCCAAGTGAGAAATAATTTTGACAAGGATAATTGACAATATCATGTGGTGAGATAAATAAAAAGAGACCAGTCCTTGAATGGAAAAACATTTATTTCCTATTTTTTTTCATCATGATCATCATCATTATCATCATTATCACCATCGTCATAATCATTATCATCACCATCATCATTATTATTATCATTATCTTTATCGTCATCGTCATCATTATCAATGAAATATTATCAGTAAAAGAAGATTGATTACAAATAGGTATATGATATAAAGACAGGCTAGCCGAAAAAAACGGAGGATAAAAAATAGTAATCTAATGCGTAGGAACAAGTTGGTAGTATCGTTACAAAATATTAATAACAATAAATCTTATTTAATTGTTACGTTTAATGAGAACTGAAGTATCCTCCAAAGTCATCGATAAAGATTTTATCTTCCCAATCTAAGCTTTGGTAATCTTTTCACGTCTTAGGCGCTTTTTTATAATATATATGATATGTAGCATTTAATCAAACAAAAAAAAGAAATAAAGAAAGAAAGAGATAAAAAAAGAAATAATCAGGTTATTGAATTATGAGAAGCTATCAATTCGCTGTCCATCAAATTATGTCATTTCCTACTACCATTTCACGAGAACTATTATGTACGCTTAATTATTGAGTAAACACATTAGTCAAAACCTTGTAATCGTTGCGGAATACAATTGATTAAAAGGTGAAAATATCAATGACTAAAATAAAGGAATACAATGTCATTTTCTTTTTAAATATTAATTATAATTAATAATACGTTCAATGCAATCAAAACAAATAGCGCGATGATTTTTGTCAACGTACGATATCGAACGTACTATATACCTAATATTTTAGGTAATACTCATTCTTTTACGAGATGTAAAAACATAAGTTTCATATTTAAAATTTGATAAATTATAGCAATCGCAGATTTAATTTTGGGTATAAAAAACTCAGTCGCGAGAATTCTATTTAAATATAAAAATAATTGACATAATGTTTCATATTGTTTGTGTATAAGCAATATAAGGCTATAGGTGCGCGTGAAAAGAAAAAAAAATGTGCGTGCGTGAGGAAAGAGGGCTTGTGTGTAAGTGTATATATGTATATGCATATGATTGTGTGTACTGTTTTCAATATATATGTTACACTTCCGCGATATATAAATATATTAAAAAATTAATAATTACATATCATTAATTGGTATCTTCAATACAATACTGATGGATATTAAATAAATTAATTAATAAATATGATATAGTTTTTCACGTATTATGTACTTGAAAAATAATTCAAGCATGTAGAATCAATTGATAAAATGCTAATTTATTAATCTCTATTTCTTTATCTTTCATTTTATAAATATAAACAGTAAATAAATATAAACTAATGAGAAATTAAAAGAAACTGTAAAAAGTCAATTATGTTATCTTGATTGTACAGCATTGCAAATTTTTATAACAAGATACACTTATACAGGAAATAATTGTGATAATGATATTATATAAGTTTATCGATTAATAAAAAGCAGAATAAAACAGCAAATATTCAATATATAACTTAATTTTTCTATACTTTAACACGATGGAAAGAGTAAAGAGTTTCAAATATTAAATAAAGAAAAAAAAGAAATAAAAAGTTTAGAGAGTAAATAAAATATTATATTATAAAAGTCATCTACAACACTGCAAATAAGCTTTAAAACATTTAATGATAAATTAGTTATCAGTCTCTTAACTTTGGATCAATTTAAAGAATAAAAAGATCATCAAGGCAGGAATAAATAAGTTGTATGAGTTATATGAGAAATTATTAAAGCCATATATCCTTAATGTTATTCTGGTTTATACAATGCATCATCCATCATTCTTTTCATTTTGCTATTTTCCCAAAATTAAATCAATTTTTTTCTAAAATAAATTTTTCTAAAATTTTTTTCTAAATAATATCTGAGAATATATGATCCAATAGGAAAAACATGCAAAAAATTATATTGCAAAAATCTTTTAACATATTCACAAAAAAGAAGAAATATAACGGGAAAATTTATACATAAATAATATGTAAATAAATATATTATCATACATCAACTGTAAAAGACACGTTCGGTTTACAAATTGTGATGATTGTTAAAAATAATTTAAAATAAATCAATTTTTGTAAAATTAATCTTAATATTTCTTAAAAATTAAATTTTTATTTTATCTTTTTTCTCTTTATTCTTAATTTATTTCTATCTTTTGTTCTTATTTTCATAATGTTATCGCAATTGTGTCCGTAATGATCCAAAAACAAAAAGAAAAATACACACACACACGCGCGCGCACGCACGGTTGCATTAATATATATTAATTATTGTAACTTGATATATGTGTAAATATTCAATGTTTAATTCAATTATTGTAAAATAAATCTAGATAACAAGGATGAAACAAAGACAACTTCATTATTACAATATTATATGCGCAATGTGCGTATTAAAATCTCACTACTTTTCGAGAGTTAATAAATGCAACAATACTGCACGAATCTACAAATATAAAAGTCCATTATATGCATGTATTCATTACATGTACGCTATACAGGGTGATTCAAAATAACCTATATATCCTTCAAGAGACATATTCCTAATCATATTTTGAAACGACTTTTTTTTGGCAAAAGTCCGAAGCTTAGTTTTTAAATTATAAAGAGAAATAGTTAGAGTAGAGAATAGTTAGAGTAGAGAATAGTTAGAGTATTATAAGTAGGATACAGGAGAAAAGCAAAGGCGTGGCACAACTCACCGTTACATGTGGGTGTTACGTGAAGCGCGATTAGCTGACACAGAATAGAGAAAATACATACATACATACATACATAGATGTATGCATAATACACTAATTATTTCTCTTCATAACTTAAAAACTAAGTTCCGAACAAACTTTTGGAAGGAAGTCATCTTGGAATATAATTAGGAATATGTCCCTTGAAGGACATATTAATTATTTTGAATCCCTATATATGCATAGAAAATTCATGTTGACTTTAGATACTTCAGGTATCATCTATCCATCTAATTGTTTTTAGTGTTGCTCTTCCTCATTTACGGCAATTTTATTTATTTATTGAAAAATAGCCAAGATTTTATTATAACTGTTTGCATTACTAATTCATAAAAATACAAATATTTTCATTATAAATATTATTATATAATATTGTATAAAAAATATACATATATACATGTATTTATTTTTTTAATACAATACTATATAATATTTGTAACACATCCACACAAACTCTCTCTCTCTCTCTCTCTGCAGATTGAAAAAAATACCCAATATAAAAATTACATCCTTTTGTAGAAAATATTTTACTTCTAGAGTGTCGAAAGTATATAGTTTTACACATAAAAATATACGAGATCGCTTAGTACGTGATGCAAGAAGATGCATTTGTTTCTTAGAGATCTCATGAGATCTATCCTTCAAATGCAAATGCAGACAAAAATGTCGAGGAGAATACTCTTAAGAATATCTAGGTTGCCCTGTGGTTTACCATAAGCAAAAGAATCGCTGGAATTCGTGCCGTGGCTTGGTGTATCTAAATCGTCTCTGATTATCCATTCTATATAACGCTTTTCTGCATCAATACCAGTTTTCAGAGATTGCAAATCATCCGTACGATCTACATGCTGTAGATTCTGTAAGTATATTTTACCAAGTTGACTAATAGAGTATCCAATCTCCAAGCTATCTTTATTGCCACTTACAGTCTCCTGCGTAGCAACACTTGTTACAGGATCTAGTCTCGATTGCATCAATTCAATAGCACTGGCAAAATTATCGGATCGTATTGATGACTCGTTCACGCTTAAATTACTTTGTCTTATGATATTTTCCTCTATGATATCCACATTTAAAAGATTATTCGGATACGCTGTCATATGAAATGTGCTCTCTTCAAATTGCGCATTTTTGGGATGACTAATAATGGAGTTTTGTATAATAGTATTTACTTCATTGTAAGAACCGAGATTAGATTGAGCGGGAGCACGACAAGCCAAAACGCTTGGTAAAGGTTCAAAAAAATCAATGTTTTTCTGATGCCTTTGTAAAAAATATTCGCATTTTTCTTGATCGGTCTGAGGATACTGGCTGTTAATCGGGCGTTCTTCCTGTTTCAAGAGATCTTGGCGTTTTTCGCGCTCCCTGGGTAAAAAATGCAGACTTCTACCGACTCGTTGAAAGAAACTAGGTCGCTTGCGCGTCTTGTTCACTGTTTTTAAATCGACGGAATTTTTTGTTAACTTATGTGGCGAATCGAGACTTCTTTGTTTATTATGGAAGAAAATTCTTGTTTCTCGTTCTTTTGGCAAAAAATCCAAACTTTTACAATCTGCGACAGATAAAACAACACTTTTTTCGAGCGATTCTAAGCTCCTATGTGTCTTTTCCTTATTACGAAAAGAGAAATTTTTGTGTTTGCTAGTGGACGCTTCCTGTAATAATTCGCTACTGCTTTTTTTAAAAATCTCGCCCTCCTTCTCGAGAAACTCCACATTTCTCGAGTCGCGAAATGTTTCATAAGCTGCAGTAAGATGTTGTATATCGCTCATCATGAGATATTTAAGCTTCTTATCATTGTCAGCATAATCCTTTTCTTCCGGGCTACCGAAATAATTTGAGCCACCTGAGATAACTGCGATATCTTTATCATCTGTTATCCGTTGAATACAATTCGAATAATTTACCTCTAAATTCTCGAACATCACGACCTCGCGATCTACATCTTTCTCAGTTTTATGCCCATGAAAAAAATAACTCTGCTTATCGAGTTGACGGGACGCTGTGTTCGGACTCCTCTCACGCGTTCTACTTATCGTCGGCTGATAGTTGTGCGACGTAGTCGCGGGATTTAAATCGGCGATATGATTAGAGCCTAATTCCCGACTATGTTCTAAATTGAGACTGGTTAAATCTAGAGAAGTTGCTACATCTAGCGGCGGTGGCAGTGTCGTTCTATTACTCTGCGTGGTTGATTTGAATGTACTGAATTGACATGGATTTGCCACGCGTGTCGCAGTGACGGCAGCAGCGACAGTCTCATTGCAGCCAGGCGAGGGCTGTTGCAAATGCCTGACTATCACGTTGTGTTGTGCTTTTCGTTCGGCAATAGCAAAATTCTGTTGGCTTGCGTAGAATTGTTGGTAGAATTGTATTTTACCTTGAAGATCACTCTTGTCCTGATTGTCCTGATCGCCACGAGTCTCCATCTCGCGTTTCTGCCGGATCGCTCGCAGACTAGCGTTCGGTCCAAGTGTCGGGCCTACCGTCGCTACGGACGCATTTGGTAAACATTGCCGTGTATAGGGTCTAAAATTAAAAAAAAAAACAAACTTTAAATTTAAAATGAACGAATAAAAAATAAAACGTTATAAGTATGTTATATATTATTAATAAAAATTATTACACGCTAAATAGATCAGCCAAATGAGAGATTGTAAGGCATTTTTAATAGGATTTGAATAACTGTAAATCCATCATTAATCTTGAAAAAGCTATATTTAATAGATCTGTCTTAAATGATATATATATATATAAACAAAACAAAAAGACAACGCTAAAAGGGATGTTGCTGAAATTGCATATTCGTGTTATTTGAAACATTTTTCGATTCATTGTCCTAAGCGCTAAAAATAGAGCAATGAAATACCCATGTTATTTATAAACATAAAACGATATACTAAAGAATCATCAGTTTAATGTCTGAATTTAATGTCTAGTTTTTCAGAAAAACCGTTTTTGAAGATTTAAAAAAAATCATTAACCTTGATCGATGTTCTTGATCATTGTTGGTCCCAGAAGGTAATGCCGCATTAGATTGTTGCGAGTGCATGGGTGCTTGTTGCGCGGAAGGTAGCGTCGGTTGCCTCGCATTACCAAATTTCAGCATATTCCAGTCAAAAACATAGTCATAAGTAAAACCCTGACCATGGAACAATGTTCGAAAAAGTTGTCGGAGATGCGAATAATCCGGTCTCTCCTCGAAGCGTAAGTCCCGACAGTACCTTAAATATGATGCAAATTCCACTGCAACAATTAATAAAATGTTTACTATATTAAATAAAAAAATACAATAAAGATTTTATGAAATACATATGGTGCTATAGGTATCAAAATCAATAAATATTCTTTTAATGATAAACTCTAGCTAATTTAGAGCTAACTTTTGCTTGAAAAAATGTTAAAATATAGGTAATTTTAAATAATCGTAAATAATTAAAGAATTTTTCATAATCTAAACTTTATAGAACAAAATAAATTACAAAACTTGTTTTAAATAGTTTTAACATTCAGGAATTTTAAACTCATTTATATGTCACTCATTTATATGTATATATATATATAATAAAATGAATATATACATATACATATATACATATATATAGCATACATACGTATACATATATATTACACACACACACACACACACACACACACACACAC